TGCCCATACGCAACACTTGATAGATGGGTTTGTCCATGTTGTTTTTGTTTTTTAAATAATGAGGCACTAGGAAAAATATTTGCCTAATGAAGCTTTTAAACTTTCTCATTCATACAGCTTTGACTTTGAAGTAATTATAAACTGGTAAAAGCGTGCCAGTGTTTCTGCAGTGATGAACCATCAGTTATTAGAATAATTTCTTCTGTGTACTTGATGATGAATCGGAGTTATTTTTTTTTCTTTTCAGAACAGAATTCAGCTGAACACAGCTCTGCACACAAATCAACCGTCATTTAACATTATTTTCCTATTTGCTGAAACTTCTTCTTTGTAAAAGGAATAAATTGATCTATTTTCAGCAGGCTCTTTATGAAAGCATCATTTTCAATAAATAAGAGAAAAGGTAAATAAAGTAGAAGAGCATTTTGCACTAGCCAACAACATGCTGAAACTTGCTGTGTTGTGTTGCCCTCTTCAGGTCAACAGCACTTACATGTTTTAGTTCTGCTTGACAAGTCATTGCATTTTAGCTTCTTTCATAAAAATTTGCAGATATGTAGTTTCAAGTAGCAGCTAACTTTACCTCTGTCCCACCAGTGTTTCAGGTATATTTGATCAAAAATCCTATAAACTTTACTTCTGGCCTCTGCATCTCCCTAACTTTAATGCTAATGCTGAAGATTATCAAAATATAGTGTTTGAAAAGATGACTAAAAAACCAACTTCAGCACTGGTAAGCCAGCCTCATGAAGAGAGGCTTAAAGGGCTCAACTGATCCAGCTTAGTGGGCTCAAGGGATCCAGCTTACCAAAGAAAAGTGAAATCACTCAGTAAGTAAACTCAGAGGTTACAAAATAAAATGTCCTTCAAGTGGTGTAAGGCAAAATAAAATCTGGAGACTGGAGTTGAAGTCTGACAAATTTGGCCTTGAAAAGAAATGGAGGCTTTTCACCCAAAACAAAAGATTTTAATAACCTACTAGCAGAAAAGGATGGGTTCATTGTTACTTGAAAACTTTACAGTTCTCATAACATGGGCCAAACTGTGACGCTGATTTGCATACCTGTAATGCGGGTTGCAACTGATTACCTGAGCTCTGCCAATTAACGTGGAAATACAAATAAAATAGTCTTGCATTGCTTGGGAAAGGGCCATACTTGGGCTTCTGATTCATTTATTAAGCGAGACACCAATAATGACTTAGAAGACTTAATTTCCCCTCCCACCTTGCTATTTTTAGAGAACAGGTCATGCTAGACATTTAAATCTATTTAGACATCTATTTAGACTGCACATTTGGAAAAAGAGCCAAGTGTTGAATGTAATAGACACATTAAGTACGGAGAATTTCACTCATGTAACTAAGGCAGATAAACATAACTTGTGACTATGATCTAATCACATCATCTTAAGGGACTTACGATAGTAAAAACTCATTCAAAGGTAATATCTACCACGTAATTAGGCAATAAAATTAATAACCTAATCAAAACCCTTAGAAAATAGAGGCAAAGGAAATGTTCATTCCAGTGCCATGGCATGTCCCTGAACTCAAAGGAAAAAGCAAACAAACAATCCCAGATCATCCCCTTTTGGGCTGGTAAACACACAATAGCCAACCTGCCTTAAGCCAAGAGTGACACTAAAAAAGCTCAGAACAACTTGTGAATAGTTTAAATGCATTTTCTTTCACATACTTTTGTAATTTTATTCTCAATCCTGAAATAATGTTTACAACTTTAAATTCTGTATACTCGTTGGGCAGGCTCCAGATGAAAAAAGGAAGATTGACAGAGAGAGAGCAAGCAAGAGCAAGTGGGTGAGCATGACACAGGTGGAGAGCAAGGATGATTCAGGGACGAGTGCAAACTAAGCACACAGTGGAGACTCAGAGGGCTCCCATCTGCAGAAGACAGCAGACAGGAGTTCATCAGGGTAGTCTCTGTCAGCACACAGAGACTCCTTTCTGGTGCTTGACTAATAAGCCCCATCACAGTGCCTGGAGCCAAAGACTGATGAAAACTTCCTGCCATCTATCAGCCATATAGTTTAGTCAATTAGAAAGTACAAAACCAGCTCGTCTTATAAACATTGCGAAAAAGTCCTCAAGCCAAACTAGCTCTAGTACTGTACAGGAAAAGTAACATTTTAAATGCATAAAAATATTACCATTATTTTCTCTCTTGCTATTAAAGAAGTGAAAGAAAGCACTCTATCCAACAGTGCTATCAGACAAAATGGCAAGAAAGTTTTCATGCAACTGTATAAGCTGCTCTGTCTTCAGTTGACTTCTGAAGTCATGAAGTGGGGCACTTTTTTTCACGTGTGTAAGTAAAAGTATTTAAAAAAATACAATCACTATTTTTAAGCTGTCTCTGGTAGAAAAAGTTTCCACCTATGCCAAAGGCTCATCTGTCACCAGTTCCCTATGACACAGTTCAGACTGTGACAGCTGGTAATAAAATCTCCAAGATCTCTCAGCTAATTTTTAAAATTGCAGATGAGTTGTTCTTAAAGAAAAAGACTGAATATCATTATCTTTAGAGTAAATGCTAAGATTCTGGTCCAATCTTCACTATTACACTTAGAAGTGGTGCTGGACAATGGCATTTAAAATTACCTGTGGTTGGTTTAGTTCTGACTTACGCAAGTACAGCGTTCATATTTTTGCCATCTCTTTCTCCCACACACACCATCAGATTTGGATACCACACAAGGTATGATTCATATTATTCTTTAGAAATGTATTTTAATAGACAGGCTTTACAACTGAAAGAGCTTTTGATTTTTGAAAATATCAGGCCTTCAGTGAAAACATGTCAGGTTGCTTTATTACATGCATTTTTTTCTGCAGCAACTTTTCCCAGTAACATTTAATTGCTGCTAAGACTGATTTTTCTTAGTTCCTATCAATCTACTACACTTCTTCAAAGGAAAACAAATTCATCCACTTCATACTGCCAAAACGCAACCTAGGTAGTTCTCTTCACAGAATTTCCTTCTAACAGTTTTGGGGTAATGGAAGTTACGAAGACTAAGAGAACTAAGAAGACTAAGACACTTTCCCCAGTGAAGGCAATGCCTGGTAATTTCCTGGCATGCACCCATATATCCTTAAGTATCTGCAAAAAAACTATGTGAAAACATATAGTGAATAATTGCCCACTGTCGTACAAACCTGGACCAAACTGGCTTTTGGTTATTTATGTAGGGATATGCAAGCAATCAATTAGAATGCAAAGCCAACTTTTACCAGCACTAATAGAAACAAAATGAGTGGGGGTCAGAGTCAGAGTAGGGGTTAAATACCACTTTAAGAATACTTTTGAACCAGTTACCTCAGCATATGAAAGTCTGTCACAAAGTACTGTAAAATTATGGTAAAACTACAGAAATTAACTCCTTGCTTGGAATCAAAGTATAATCTCACCCTTCCTAATACTTTCTGAAAACTCCTTTAAAAATATATAGACTTATGATGAGCAGTAATGAGTACACAAACGAACAAAACCAAAAAAGCTAGAAACTGAAATCCACTTTTTAAAGAAGAGGAACATTACTGAAAATATTTAGAAATATTAAGAACAGTATTACTGAAATAGTATACACCAAACTTCTCAAAGTCTGTCTCAGCATCATCTTTCTTTGTGCTTGGTCTTAGATAATTTAGGTTTAAACTACAGCAAGTAAGGGTTTCCAGTTGACAAGATAATGAAAATCAAGATAAATGCTACTAGCTAAAGAGATTACTGAATTAGATATTAAGAATTTTTTTTAAAAAATTAAAACCCCCAACTTTATTAGCATGAAATCATGTGATATCACAGAAAATTTCCCTCATGGCTTAAAGGTCTATACCTTATTCAGACAGCAAAACCTCCTTTTCACAAACCCATTTATGTGATTTCTATGAAAAGACTTAAAAAACCCCACACCTATCAGAGAACAAACAAACAACTTGGTTAACAACCAAACAAAATGCTATGAGTGAACTATTTTTCCTGATGCATGCTTTTTGATACTTAAACAAACCTTGCCATCTGCTATGATCTCTGACAAAATAACTGACTTCCGTTCTCAATCTAAGGTTTCAGTATGACGGTGCCGGTCTTGTACCTAACATTAAAAGTTACTTCAGTCCCGTTGCAAGATTGCATAGGTTTGCATGGTCATTAAAACCTGCTGTAAAGTAGGATGAGACTATTCAGTACTGTAAGTAAAGGTCTTTTTTTGATCATCACAGGTGCAAAACTTAAATGTATAGCAATGAAAATGTTTCAAAGATAAAACAGAGCAGAACTGTTTCCTTTAAGAGGAGTTTACATGAATTTTGTATAAGCTTTTAACTGTACTTAATGATAAACTTCATTGTGATCTTAATCTTATAAAAACTAAGGGGACATCAAAAAATGATAAGGATTCCAAGGAATAAGCATCCAAATAAACTGCTGAGAAGAACAGAGCACTGGTGTATTAAAATAGAAAAAATATTCAAAGCTAGTTTTGGATTGTAAAGTATGCAATTAGAAGACAAAGGGAAGAACTAGATGCAAGTTCTATGCCATTAATTTCACCTAATGCCAACAAGAAAAGAAGCCTACACAGTGTTTGAAGGAAAAGTGTTGCTTCTGAAATACCTGGCTTGCAGCTTTCAGAGGGCATTTTGCATCCAAAGCACTCTTCATAGTCTTAAGTTATTTTTAGTGACAGAATTAGTTTTAAAAAAAGAAAAAAAAAAACAACTAAATAAACATGACCTGTATCTGACTTTGCAAATTGGCAATTACACACTTACAACATCATGAATGTTATCTATTAGAATAAATATAGTCTATTTTGTCTTTGTTAATTCATACAACTCAAGGGTCCAGCAAAGATCAGGGTCCTAAGTTTTACCATAATGTTAGAAAATGGAACACATAATTCCCAAACCAGTTTATGATATATAACACCTCTGTGGAATAGTTTGGTAGAAGTGGTTTTATTTTATAGTCTCCTACCTGATAAATTCTAAATGGGATGTATCGAAATCCACTATCTTCTGGAGGATACTCCATGAGTTTTCGGTTTATTGCCCAAAACTGCTCAAATTTATCTGTAAAGGTAAAATTAGATTGTTAATATTAATAACATATATCCCTTGTCAGATAAAAGAGGTAAATGAAACACGATCGGAATAACATGCAAACTTTTCTTACAGAAGTTTGACCTATACAAATATTTTCTTCACATTTCTCCTCCCCACTCAGCCTGAAGCCAAAGCTAAGTCATCTGAATTCCCTCATGAAAACAGTGATGTGGCAACCTACCAAACTGAAGGAGAAAGCTGATAGAATTCATATCGTATCTCCCACTCCTAGGGAAATATTGGGCTGCAAATTATGGATTTCATTGCCTCTATTAATGGTGCCTGTATCTCCACTCCCTGCTCCTACTGGTCCACAGTCTCAAAGTTTGTTAAAATCATCTATCTGTTCTTAACTATAGACAAACAATACATGTAAAGTACAAACTAATGCAGTATAAAAACTTCTTTACAGGTTTACATTTGGATATGGAAATCTTACAATAGTCTGCAACAATGTATGATATAACCAGAAAATATATTGCCAATTTCATGACACAACCCAAAAATAAAAGTTTGTTTCAAACGTATATTATCCAGCTAACTAGGTTTAGTAAAGTAGCCTGAGGCAGTACACTATTTCATCCTGCTCAGACATTACAAGAACTGAAGAGCTTATTGCACTTAAAATGTATTAAAGACAGCACAGGTCTACAGCAGTAAAGGCTTTTATACAGGCAAATGAATTATTCAAATCAAGCAAACAACCAATAGCAAAAGTGACAGAAAAGAACATGAGGAGCTAAGATGAATAAAGCTGCTGCTAGCCTACTGGAGAAGGCAGCTTTAGAATGAGAATATTTAGCAAGGGATGATTTTCCTCATAGCCAAGACTAATTCTCCATGACACCCAGCACAGCAGATGGTTGTTCAAAACAAACATAAGAGTCTCCAATTTTCTCTCCTTGGCACAGCTGAATCTCAAGCAACCTGGTGGTGTAACTGTTACAGAATCCAGCCCCCCTGTAGCAAGGTAAAAAGCAGAAATCTGTTCATTGAACAAGGGCTCTTCCTGCTTCCAAAACTGCTGATAACAATTAGAGCAACTACAGAAAATTAGAAGTCTGAGATATGCTTCAGTCCAGCATACAGCACAGATGTCTGTCAGTGCACTAAAAAAAAAAAAAAAAACAGTTAAAATATATTGCAGGATTTATAGCACGTTGCTTTTCCTGACAGTGTGACACAAGGCAGGAATTTCCAAGAAACCTTACACAAACTCCTGCCAGGTGCTCTGCAGAACACTTCCCGATGCGTATCTCAGAAAGCGCCCCCACGCGCTTGTTTCCGCAGGAGCAGCGAGCGCCTCTGGAGGAGCGCTGCCCTGAGCTGCTCTCAGCACCAGCTCGCAGACACCTGCCCGAGGCGAGGAGCTGCCCGGGCCAAGGGTGCAGCCCGCAGCAGGGCGCTCGCCCCGCACCTCGCCAGCTGGGAGGCTCAGCAGGTGCCAGTGACAGTGGCAACCCTGGAGCTGACCCAGCCCAGCAAGCCTGCATTTGGGAACCCTAGCCTAGGCAGGCATAGAGGTTTACTCTATGTTCAACACATAGCACGACTGCATCCTCCTCATGATCTCTGCCAGTGGGAAGATGAAGATTTAGCATACTTCCCTCAGCCTTGGAGACAGTGTGGAGTGTGGCTTACAGCTTAGAGTACAGGCTGAGGGGACAGGCATATTACAGTAGGCATTCACTGATTTCTTCTTCAATTACCACTTCTGACTATAAACTCAGTTGATAAAACCATTAAATCATGGTGATACACAAAACAAAATAATCAATACCTAGTTAAGCTAGTGAGCTTCAGCATACTCTGTATATTTAGGAATATTTATATAATTTACATAAGGAATCTATATATTTGAAGACATCCTATCTGAACAAAAACAAAACAAACAATAATTTACGAGTTCAATGTCTGTATTACAAGTAACTAGGAAAGTTGGGTGAACAGCTTCCTACCCTCAGAATTCAATAGGGATGAACAACACATCTTACAGATCAGACGAACAAGAAATTCTTAAGAAGTAACAGACTTATGATAGCTTAAGTACTTTTTCCCTTGTGGTATATATGGCAAAGGAACATCTGAAGGACAAAAAAAGTTAAACAGTGATAATGTACAATTAACTCACTTCTGTTCTTCATTCCAACTTCCACACCTCCCACATATCATGCAGGTAGTCTTATTTAAGGCAGGTAAATTTGCAATTTTATCCTTCTCAAAATATTCTCTGAACACCCAGACAACACTCAAGACAATCCACTGTTTTATCAAGATGTTTAAATTTCTAATAATTTCTGTAGTTTCTAAACATAACAGCAATAAATGTGCAACAGTTGAATGACAGACTTGCTGCATTTTCTAATCAAGTATGTTCTGTCAATCCATCTGACATTCCAGAAAAACTTTCTAGTACATTAGTATACATGATGGAGTCAGACATCTTAAGACACATCTCCACCATATGGACAGAAATGTCTGAAGACATCTCAGCTAATTCATCTTCATAACCTTATATTGCTGTCCTTCAAAGCTCTTTCCATGGATATAGTACTTTTACTATAGGAAACTGGGTTTGTGTAAGAAAATTAACACAAATTTTCAAAACAAGCAACAGGAAAAGGCTATCCAGTTTGCCTACCGATAGATATACTTGGCAAGGGCTTTTATTAGCATTAGGAGTGTTGGCTGAATACCAGAACTCTAAAGCTCCAAAACTCAAAATCCCAAAACAACTGCTTTTGCAGAAACCTTAAGACTCAAAGCTTAAACAAATAAAAAAATTTCCAACACCACCCAGCACCCCCTGCCCCCAATCCCCTTGAAAATATAACCAAAAGGATTCATCATTCTCCCATATTTTTTGTGTCAGTATCTCCTATTTATGCAAAATAGAACTAAGGAAGCTATATGCTGCAATATCTATAAGAACTAATCACTACTTTGACTAGACAGGACTTAAAAGACAGAAGGTGCTCGCCGGAAACTTGACAATCAAAACAAAACTGAGTTTTCATCAAGTCAGTAGAGAAGGAAGAGTTCTGTACCTAGCAGAAGCACTTTACCCACTCATCTCCCACCCTTACGAAAGGCTTATGCAGTCTGCATGATATCTGAACTCCTGTAACAGTCAAATCTGATTACTTTTGTTTTCTACAGTCCATCTGTTTTTAAGAAAGTGCTTGACTAATGTGTTAAAGAGTTTCTGTATTAGCAAAAAACAGTACTTGCAAAAGGCAGATGTTCATATCTGAATAACAACATTTAAAGTAATGGCAAATATTTGAACAGAAGTGAGATCAGTGACAGTGTAGAAGTTTCAGATGACTCTACCAATGATATTTCTTAAATAGTGGAGGATGGTTGCCATGTAACTTTGCCTAAAATGAAATATAAAAAACCTTTTCTTTCTGTATTTCACATCAAATATCAGAAAGCTAATAAACAAATAATGGAGGAGAGATTGAGTTGAAAAACCTATGAGCTTTTTCTATCAGCTAAGTCACTTCTATTTATAAATATTAATTTATTAGAAATGCAGTCACTGAATGCCCAAACACCAGACAGACATTAGCATTCAGTACTACTGAGAGATGTACAGATCTAAAGAATGCTTTGAAAATATCTATTTACATACATAAAAATAACATGAGTTGGTAAAACTACATGTAAATGTCATCCATAACAATAATCTCAGTACACAAATTCATTAAGCAACAAATCAAACTTCCAACATAAATTTATAAATACAGCATGCCACATCTGGTGTTCAGAAATCTACCACTGAAACTGGGAAATTGTTCATGCCTTTAAAGCACCAAGTAAAACAGTTACAAAAAAAAAAAAAATAAAAGGACCATTACTGGGAAACACTTTGAGAGTTGACATTTCCTCCATTAAGCAAGACTGAAGATCCTTGAAATTAATCAAAATTTCTGTGTTATATTAAAAAGTTGTCAACTCCAGTTATAGTTTGTTGCTAATAGACAGTAACTGCTAAATCTTTTACTGTTAAGCAGTGTTAACTAATGATTAGACCAGGCTGAAATTTTGAAGGCTGAGACCCAGGGCCAGTGTTCTTCAGACAACCAGAAAATTTAGTTTTATTCATGTTAGTCTTACAAACATGGTCTGAAACTGAAGTGCTGTCACATTCAGCTTGAAATTTTCCATGGATCTTAACGTTAGGTACATCTCTCACACTCCCCCGACTCTACAAAAATGGTAAGCAGGATAGATCACTGACAGGGTAAAAGGCACTGCTTCAGAGCTTGCAATCAACACACACATTTCAATGCAGAGTAGCTTTAAATTAGCATACACAAAGAATATGGGCAATTATCACAGAATGAGACACTGTATCTACAAGTAACTTGCAATAAGACACAGTGGTCACAGCATGTGGCCAGTTTAAATGGAGTTCCAAGTGTACTACAGCAGGCAAAAGAACTAAAACTCCTCACTCTAACTTATCAACAGCAATATCTTAATAATAAGGATTTTTTTTTTTCTGTATTTGACACTGGCACAACTGCTATTAAGAGTACTGACTCCAGAATTGGATATATTTAAAAAATACTGCAGAGCAGGTTTAAATAACAGAAAGAATTAATGCTAAACCAAGGGTAAGATTAAATTCTAAATGAAAATGAATTCACAGCTCTTATCCCCCAACATTTTTTTAGAAAGTAAAAAAAGGGAACAAACAGGTGTGGCCCTCAGGGTAGCATGTATGCATGACTTTCTGTCTGGACTATTCACTGTTTCTTCTTAAAACTATCTAGTTGTTTAAATAAAAATAAAACCCTCCAGCTCTATGCTAGTAATACTAATTTGAAGCTTGCATAAAAATATAATCATGTATAACTGTTAAGCTTAAAAAACACAAAACTTTTGTCTGTTCTCAGTGGTTCGTCACTGCCTAATAACCATATGAACCATGGAAATTATGCACCATTCTAAGTACT